ATAACACTAGCATGCAGTCAGTTCTAATTTCAAGCTATTTCAGGTTCTTTTCTCATACAAACTACTCAGCCATCCCTTTTCACTTTTAATCTCTGCATCAAACTATTCATCCCCCTAGCATTCCATTTTCTATGTCACTTGCCACCTTACATCATTTGACTACATGCATCATTGTTTCCTTTTCTTATCCATATCTGGGACATACATCCAAGACATCAATTCTCATTCTCCTTAGGTTGGTAAAAGCTGGTAGTATCCCATTATTTTGGCACCAGCCAAAACTTTTATTTTTGTAGGTATGTTACCAAAGATATTTCCAAAAGTCATTACAAGCTCCATTATTTATGACATCCCCAATGGAGCTGGTGAGAAGTCTATATGCACTTTTCAACATGAACTATGTTAGGCAAAAAGCCTTTATCCAATCAAACCAATAGAAACAAAATCAAATAATTAGTTAAACACACAAGAGACAATAATTTAACTTGATTCGGTCTAATTGACCTAAGTCTATGGATGAGAAACAAGATCCACTAGTTGTAGAGAATTACAAACATATCATATCAACCTCATTCACTAATCAATACTCATAAGACTCTCTCATTCTCCCCTAGTCTTATAAAATATTCTCAATCCAAACAAATACAAACTCTAGTACACTTAAGCATTATACCTATAGAGACTTTCTCAGTTTCCTTTAGTGCATTCACAAATATTCAAATATACACACCCATAAGACGTAAATCTCCAATAATCTTATAAAGTATCTAGCCATAAAACCCTACAACTCTTTTACATTATTTTTTCATACCTAACTCTACAAAGACTTCACCTATTTATAAGCATATAAACTTGCCTATTAATAATCTCTTTCCTCTTAGAATTCTTCTTTTGTGAGACAAACTTACCTATTAAGAATTTTTTTCCTTTTAAAATTCTTTTTCTACAAGTTTTCTTGTCCGTCAAGCAATATCTAACTAATATCAAATAAATCTATTATGAGATTTGAGTCACTATTCTCAATAATCTCTACCTTGACTCAAATTTTATCAAATCACCTATTTTCATACTAGACATGTTTAGTTTCATCTGTAATGGAACTTTCATAATCATCTTCTCTTATGTATCTTCACGTTTCATGCAAATCGATCTTCAAACCTCAAAACTTGAACTTCAAACTTTTATCTTGAATTGAGCTCTTTTAGGTTTGCCTATTTTCATGTTTCAAACCTTCAACTCTTCCCACATTTTAAACCTTCAGTCTGATACCACTTGTTAGGGATCACCACAACTCTAATACCATTTATTAGGGATTACCACAGCTCTAATATCACTTGTTAGACTAAATAGCCCTAATCCATTCACATCAGTAGAAGCGAAATCAAATAATCAATCAATCACATAAGAGAAAATAATTTAATGTGATTCAATTCAATCAACTTACGTTTATGGATGAGAAATAAGATCTACTTATTATAGAGAATTACAAACATACAAATCATATCAATCATTCAACAATCAATACCCATAGGCCCTATCAATCTTCTCGAGTCTTACAAAGTGTTTTCAACCTAAACAAACATATATCCTTGTACACCCATACACCATACCTATATGGACCCTTTCAATCTCCTTTGATCCACTCACAAGCATCATACCTATGTGGACCCTCTCAATCTTCTCAGTCCACTCAAACATACACACCACCATAAAGACGTTAATCTTCTCTAATCTTATGAAGTATCTATTTTATAAAATCCTACAACTCTTTTATATTTTCTTCTCATATCTAACCCTATAAAAATTTTACCTATTTATAAGCATACAAACTTGCCTATTAAAAATCTCTTTCCTCTTAGAATTTTTCTTTTGTAAGTTTTCTTGTCCATTAAGCAATATCTAACCAATTTTAAATAAATTTATTATGAGATTTGAGTCACTATTCTCAACAAACTCATTTTTTTTCAATCCTCGTATGAGTTGATCTTCTTTACTAATGCATTTCAATGGAATGCAGCATATAGACTTCACATCTTTTGTTAAAAAAAATTTGTTGTACTTTATCCTCCTTCCACTTCTTAGTGTTTGGATCAATTAATTTTACCACAAACTATAGTTTGTAGCCCTTGTATATGGTTTGCCTTTGTACTAGGTTTTATCCATGCATTGTTCTAAGTTCTAATTAAGTTTCCATTTCCTACTCTCTATTGTAGTCCCATCTCTAATACCTCATTCACCCTCCACATACTACACCATGTAAGAAAAGGGTTTACACCCGAATTAGCCTCCATGAAATTGGATCTTGGGAAATACTTTGCCTTGAGTACCTTATGAACCAATGACCTTAGCCTTTTTAATACTTTCTAGCCTTATTTTCCTAATAGCACTGCATTAAACTTTGATGCATCTCAAACACTCATTCTTCCTACAACTTTTCTTTGACATAAATTCTTCTATTTAAGTCAATGAATCCCTCAGTCATTTGTTTTTTATCACCACTAAAATCTATTGACAATGCTACTAATTACATGACATAACCTTTTTAGTGAAAGGAAGTAACTCATGGCATACGTTGGTATTGCTTGGAGAATTGCTTTTATGTATATTTCTTTCCCGCCTTTCATAGCATTCTTCTACTTAAGCTTTGTGTCCTTTTATTTAGTCAATTTGTTATTTATTTGAATGCTCTTTTCTTTCCTTTACCCACCATAATAGGAACACTTAAATACTTCTCAGGATTAACGATGATTTAAATCTTAAAAATATGTTTCACCCTTTCCATGCAATCCTGCTGATGTGTTTTTGCTTAATAATAAAAAGGACTTGTTGTAGTTTATTTGTTGCCCTAAACTTTCATCATATCTTTGTAGCACGTACCTCATCTTCATGTATTCCATCTGACTTGCTTACATGAATAGCAAGTTATCATCTACAAAGAGCAAATGAGTAATCCGATGACCATTTTGGCTAACTCTTACACCAATTATCCATTCTTTGGTTTAGTATTTCTTTAGCATGGATGAAAAACCTTTTGTTCATAAGAGAAATAAATAGGGTGAAAAAGGATCACCTTGACAAATACCTCTTTCTAAACAAAAGCTGTTAGTGATAATACCATTAAGGACAATAGAATATGATATAAAAGATATACATCTCATTATCCTATCTATCCCCTTTTCAGCAAACCCCATCTATCTCATTACAACCTCTAAAAAAAGCCACTCAACCTTATCATAGGCTTTGCTCATGTTTAACTTTAAGGCCAGATACCCATCCCTGCCCAACCGTTTGTTTTTTAAGGCATGTATTAATTCATAAGCAACCAATACATTATCAGTAATTAGTCAACTTCGAATAAAAGCACTTTGAGACTCACTAATACATTAGGACAAAACATTATTGAGCCTATTCGCCAATGTTTTCGAAATGATCTTATAAATGACATTGCATAAACTAATGGATCAGAAATTAGCCATTGTTCTTGAAAATTTTCTTCAGGCCCACTTTTCATTTATTTCCACTTTTCATTTTCATCTAATTTCAATTCAAATAACTTCTTTTTATTTCTATTTGATTATTTCCCTTCTCTTTTCTTCTCTTTTATCAAAATACACATTGATAAGTTTCAATATTTAACCAACTTAGTTTATTTTTTGCTTTCCAAAATCCTATGTAAAAAGAAACAAGTGAAAGTAAAAAACCAACGTAAATCATCTGCATTCACAACTCCCACGGCAAGGATCACAGCCTTGACTGAGCTTTAGACTTCTTTTCTGAGCCATGTTACTGTCCGGACATGTTTTTCCATTATAAGAGTAACCACAATTCTCCATTGTATGAACTATGATTCTTGGTCTGAAAGCTGTGTTCCTGGCAACCTTGGGACCATTAACTTGACTGCCTTTATAGCATATAAAGTTTTTTTCATTGAGTATTGAAAAATGTAGGAAAAGTTTTGGCATAAAATCTGGCATAATTAAAACTAGACTTTTGATGACTTCAATTTTTCTATGAATTCAATTAAAGTATTCTTTAATCTTATGATATCTACCTAGAATTTACATTGATGGTATAAAGGGTTTTTGTTTTTTTCCTAAAAAGCTTTATATTGAACTCCAAGTTTAGTTTAGTTTAATTGGTTTATGAAATTACTCTTTAAATATAACATCCAACAGATTTTGGATTTAAATCCTAACAACTACAATTCCTTATTCCAAATTAAGATTTTCTTTGTAAAAAAAAAAAAAAAAAGCTCTATATTTGTTATATGGTATAATATTTCAAAATTTTAAAATTTAAATCCTAAATTCTAACCGGTAGATATGAATTTTTAGTTGAGAAAAGCTTTATTGGTGTAAGTTAGCCAGGTTCTTTATGCTAAACATACAGTATAAGATTTAAAGATCAGAATAAAGGGATCAAAAGGGCAGGAGTTCTATTAACAATTGACCAAGAAATAATGGAATTGAAGCAACTTGATGTGGCACATTCGGATGGGGAATCCAACAGCCAGCCAGGATCAAATATGCCCAATTGAAGAATATGTTACCACAAAGCAATTGCCAACAAGTCATTGTATCCCACTCTAGTCTTATGGCATTCTGTAATAGCTATGAATCCACCAAAGGTTTTACAAAAGGAACAAAAAGGCAGAAGGCAAATCTCAAAAGGAGAACCAAAAGAGGGCTGAAGAGGGGGAAGGAAAGCTAGTGACTAAAGGACGTTCGGTAGTGAACGATAGGGAAAAAAATGGGAGTAAAAATTTGGTTGATGGGTTATGGAAGAGAGTGGGTGACAGACCCACGTGAGTGACCCACCACCACCACTATCACCACCCTTTATCTCTGTCTAATAGGCCAGTGGATTTCTTGGTTGGCTTCATATCAACGCTAACAGCCAAAATAACCCAACCATAGCAATAAAACCAACATACCCACAAATAAGATAACATCAACCCCCTCTCTAAATAAAGTGAAAGCAAAAAATATATAGTTAAGAGGTTACTATCATTAACTCATTTGACAAAAGCTACCACTTTTCTTGGTTGCACTTGCCCACTAACCCTAAGCCCTTCCCTTTTCTTTCCCTATTCCCTCTCCCCTCTCCCTCTCTTATGCTGATGACTCTCTTTCTGTCCTATTGTTTCGGTATTTGAAATTGCTCGAACACAATTAAAATTAAAAACCTAATACTCTATTTAACAGGTCACATTATTTTTTGCTTGCTCGACCATTGGTTGGCAACTATTCCTAACTAACCTACCCTTTTTCCCTTTCCTCTAATGGTAGTGGTTCTCTTATCACTCTCATTCTATCGCCCAGCTTCGTCCTTTTTGAGTTTAAACTTCTTCTTTGGACTGGCTACATGTTAACAGCTAATAACTAGAGTAAAAGTTTCTTTTTTGTTTAGCATGGGGAGAGATGGACAAAGAAACTAACCAAGAAAACCCATCTCTCCTCTCAAATAATAACAATACCATCACGAGATTAGAAGACTGTTCCCCTAAAAAACATCCTGGAAGCACTGCTGTGATTGGTGGCGCCGGCAGCGGTAACGATAGGCTAAAACGTGATGAATGGAGTGAAGGAGCGGTTTCAAGCTTACTTGATGCTTACGAAAACAAATGGGTGCTTAGAAATAGAGCCAAGCTTAAAGGTTTTGATTGGGAAGATGTTGCACGCTATGTTTCAGCTCGAGCTAATTGTACAAAGTCCCCAAAGACTCAAACTCAGTGCAAGAACAAGATTGAGTCCATGAAGAAAAGGTATCGATCAGAGTCTGCTACTGCTGATGGATCATCTTGGCCTCTGTATCCACGGCTTGACCTTTTACTACGTGGCAGTGCGCCTCCTCCTCCACCACCACCACAGTTGCACCTATCAGTCCCTCAAGCACCTGTTCCACTTTCTACTAATCCTCCTTTGACGTTACCAGAGCCGTCCATGGTGGTGATGATGCAGCAGCAACAACCACTATCATCTTTGGCGCCTCAGCTTCCTGGAACTGCACAAAATTCACATGGTTCGAATGGTGTTGAAAGGATAGCCAAGGTCAGTAAGAATTATATATGTTTACTATATATGTTTTTCAAAATGGCGCTGCGACTCAAATTTAAGATTTCTATTCAAACTTTATTTTCGGATTAAATTTTGGACCCCCAAAATCCTTTAATAAAATTAAATTATTTACATTTTAGTACTAATTTTTCTTTTTGAATTAGTAGAGTATATATATAATATAATTCTAAGAGCAAAGAAAAAATAATACTACAAAGGAAGGTGATTTCAGCAAAAGTTTTTACTCTGGCTTAATTCTTATGATGTTAAATTGTAAGAGTCCTTTGGACATTTCTTTTTTTAATATTTGTGACTCTTAAATTTTGATTATTAATATTAAGAATCCTATATTATAGTAATGGCTTTTGAACCTTTCTTTTTGTAGCATATTTAATCCTATTTTCATAAAAGTAAATGCTCGTAGAAAAAAGAAAGTAAGTGTCCTTTTTTCTACGCTTATGATTTTAACTCTACTTTTGAACAGTTGCATTTTTTACAATGAAATAAAAATCATTATAACAACCTTCGAAGTTTTTTTTTTAAGAAACCATTTAATTTAGCATGTTTCATGATTAACTCTTATAGATTAAGTAATAACCAATTTAGTATTCGAGTATTTAGCTTAATGATTGTGCAGGTAATATAAGTAGGTTCATAATTTCTTCCCTCAATAAAAGAAATACTGTAAAAAACCTTTTCACTAGGAATTTGCGGGCTCTTTGGATATTAACAGGAGGATGAAGCAGGAACAAAATTATCCAACCCTTTATCAGACAAGGTTGGTATGGAGACAGATAGTAGCACACCAGCTCTTTACAGTGACAAGGAAAAGCAGAGGCTGAAGAAATTGAAGATGAAAATGGAGAAGAGGAGACGGAAAAAGGAGAAGTGGGAAATAGCTGAGAGCATCCGATGGCTAGCAGAAGTAGTTTTAAAGTCAGAACAAGCAAGGATGGAAACAATCAGAGAAATAGAGAAAATGAGAGTTGAAGCTGAGGCTAAAAGAGGAGAAATGGACCTCAAAAGAACTGAGATCATTGCCAACACCCAATTGGAAATTGCTAGGCTCTTTGCTGGGTCAAGTAAAGGAGTTGATTCTTCATTAAGGATTGGAAGAAGTTGATGATCATGATCAATGATTATTACTGAAATCCAATCTGTTATATTTATGAACGTATAGATTTTGCATGTTGACAAATAACAATCGAAAATGAACCCATGGTTTATTCAGTTAGCTATTTTTAAAAAGTGATATTTTTAAAGTTTAAATACCAATAATTGTAATATCTTTTTCTATATTTTTGTACAAAAAAAAAAGAAAAAGAAGAGGGATGAAAAATTAAGGGTTAATGAGGGAAGATATTTTTAACTTGCAATAGGCTAATTAATTAGATAAAGTAAATGGAGTAGGTAAATAGCAGTTTCTACCTCGTTTATCAGCTTCTCTTATAGAGAAATGTTTAGTATATTTGCAAAGAAGAAATGTACCTGCATCATTCTAAATTGTTGTTTAGTACAAGAACTTTAATTCATTGAGGAAATTATATAAGACTTGGATAAGAAGTGAAGAATATATATACACCTTATTTAATTTGCATATTCCCACTTCAATGAAATTTTAATCACTATTCAATTTCATGTGATTATCTGTGGCTTTTTTTTCCCCAAATAGCATTAATTTGTATGCATGTTTCAATGGCTTCTCAAGTAATTAAAGGAAGGAAAAAGACTTTTCGAATAAATAAAAATATATATCAATTATTGACTCAAATGTTTGAGAGCAAAGATTCATGTCAATTTTATTTAGATCTGTTCATAAGTAAAGTTGATCTTTTTTCCTTTTTTCTTTTTTTTTAGTTCTTGAAAATTAGCTATCAGGGTGGAGCTTTGGAGGGCCTAGGAAAAATATTTTAAAATTATGTATATCCTAGAAAAAGTATCAAAGGTTTTCATTGATACAATTTATTTGTTATTGAGATTAATATTTTTATCATTTGTCATTATAGGTAGAGATAGTATTTTCAGCAATAAATATCCTGAAAATTCTTTTGTGCAATGAATGAAAAAACAATGGTTGAATGATAATTTAGTTGTTTACATTATTGATAACTATCTTGCAATGTTTTCAAAATATAAAACAACATTAAGAACAGTTGTAAAATTTTTAACAATTATGATTGAATATGAAAATTTTAATTTTTTGTTACTATATATTATCATTATTATTGTTATTGTTATTTTTTTATAATTTAATATATTTGAATTAAGTCTCACAAAAATTTCTGACTCTGACATTGTTTACTATCATGTTTTTCACCGTATTTGGTTCAAGCGAAGGAGAATGAAGAAAAGAAAAATATACGTAATAAAAAATCAACAATCATATGATATATTGATAAAGTACTGAATTTTTTAATTTTAATAATTAAGATTCATCAAGTACCAAAAAAAGAAAACATAATAGAGAACAAAAATAAAGAAAAAAGAAACTATATATATATATATATTATTTTTTAAATTCTTTAAATTATGATAGGATTATTCTGAAAATTGTATATATTTTCAGGCACCTCCTAAAAGTTATATGTGACATTATTTTTAAATTGTATGATATTAATATCAAACGCTCAATTTTTGCTAATCTATCTTAATCCTTCTTAATTATCAGACTTCTCGAATGGATTAAAAATAAATGAAAGAAGAATCAAATAAAACAAATTTGTCTTAATAAGAAATTTGCCATTAATGGTTAACCAAGTCCATGTTCACTACATCTATTATAGATTTTCTATCTTTAGCTCATTGATCTCATAATCTTTTGAAAATTTATATTTGATGTATTGTCAATATATTAGATGATATAATCTTATTAATAAACAAATATAAATTTTTACAAATCTTTAAAATAAATATTCAAAATTTTGACTTAAAAAAATATTTTTATTAATGAATTGTTCTTATCTGATTCACTGACAGTTTATAAAATTTATACACTGATCCTACATCAAATATAAACTCATCTTTTAAAGGTTAAAATAATTATCTCTAGGAAACTATTTTAAAGTATGACATTTTAGAGTATGATTGTCAATGTAATATTTTAAATTTCATACATGGGATTAAGAGCTAACATTTGTTTTATTCTTTTTTAATTAATTTTTTTAAAACTATATCTTAAAAACTATATGTCAAAATACTAACCCAAATCTAAAAATTTCACAAACAATTAATGAAATAATCTCTATAACAATAAATGAAATAATTTTTATTAGAGTATCATCTGACTTAAAAAATCACTGTCACTATATATTTTGTTAAGCAAAGCAAAGCATTATTTCCTTTTACGCTTCAAAGAAAGACATAAACAAATAAAGTTTTTGATGAATCAATTGTTAACATGTTTAGTTTTTGTTTATTTATAATTATTTGTTAAACTTAACAAGTGATTTTGAATAGCATTTAAAAATATATTTATTAAATAAATTGAATACGAATAAATATTTGTTTGGTCCATTTAAAATTATGAACAAACTCATTTAAGGATTGTTTAAAACTCTTTCATTTAGGATTTGTTTATATCTATTTATCGTTTAATAATAATAATAAATGATATTTTTATCATTTATTCTAATCCTCTTATCCTAACACTATTATTCTTTCGGCCTATTTTCTAACTCGTCACAAAGTAGTTTACACTTTCAACCTATTTATTATTTGTTTATTATGTAAATTTGTTTATCATTCATGAACATATTTATTTATTATTCACGAACATATTCATTTATATATATATATATAATATATATATATATATGAACATATTTGTTTAATGTTCAAGAATAAATTCATTTAACTTAAACTATCCGAATACAAATGAAAACATGAATATCTTATCATTTAAATGAACCAAACTCGAACGTAACAAACAATTTTTTTATCGAATATGAATCGATTCCGAACAACTCTAAAAATAAATTAACAAAGAAAAATTTTAAAAATTTTGGTTAGCGAACACATTTACTTTTACTAATAAACCAATGTTAATTCTCCGCTACGCATGGGTTAATTAAATTGTTTTGTCATTCTATTTAATGATATTTTGCACCATTTAAATTACATTTAGAAGTATTTTTCATCTAAAAGGTTTTAAAAAATTAATCATTCCTAATTTTTAAGAATTTCCTTATCAAATTTATTATTTTTTAAAAAAATTCTAAATTTTAATTCTAAAATTTATTTCATTATTTTTATAAATTTCTCACTTATATTTTATTATTGTTTGAAAATAAATGTAAATTATCATTATTGAAATTTTATTTAAAGTTTTTCATCATTGGATCAAATTCAGCAAAACTTTTCATATAAAATTTTCTTTAAAAATTAATCCTTCGTGATTTTTATGAATTTCGTCTTTGAAATAATTTTTATTCATTTTTAAAATTTTATTTTTTTATAACAATTCTTCAAAATTTTATTAAATTTTTTTTGACTCAAAAATTAATATCAATTATCAATTTTAATTTTTTTAAATTTTCTATAATTTGGCTAAAATTTTAGAAAAAATTTATCTAATATAGAATTTTATTAGAAAATCAACCATTCATAATTATTAAAAATTTCATCATTATAGTATGTTTACATTTTTCAAATTTAAAAATTATTATTTTAACTAATTAAAATCTATCCTAATTCAAATTTTAGGTAAATAATAGATTAAAATAAATTTTAAAAATACAAAAATAATTAAATGAAAATAAAATAAAATAAAATAAAACAAACAAATAAAGTAAAATAATAAAAAAATGATAAATAAGAGTACAATGATAATTTAAATTTAATAATATTGGATAAGTGTCACTTTAAGAACCTTTAAAAAAAATTTAATTTAGTATAGGATTGGATAAGTGTCACTTTAAGAATTCTTAAACGATTCTTTTAATTTAGTATAGTATAGATGGTATAGATTCTTTATAAATAATATTTTCTTTTAGTGAGTAGATATTTATAAAACAATATCCACGCATTTCTTCTATATATATTCTTTTTTTTTTTTTGGTGTAATATATATATTTTTTTAATTCGTCACCAAATATGCTTTCGTTTCATTCAGATTCTACGATGACTTTTGCATTTTATATTAATGGTTGCGATGCGTAGGGAGCCTAGAGTAGCCTATCATAAGGTCACATTAATTTTATATGTGCTCAAATAATAATTATAATTATAATATAATATAATTAACAAAAGAAAATTGATATGCATAAGCAAAAGCGGCCTTTTAATTTATGGGGCCACATTTTGTCAAATCTTTTAATCTATCAAATTCTTTTTTATTTTCATTTTTTATAAAAGTGAACATTATGATTTCAAATTTAAATTTTTTATTTAAATTTTACTTTAATCTTTTTATTTATATAAATATATGTATATTCATATATTATATGTCATATGCATGTCTAATATATGAAGAGTGAAGACATATTTTTACTTACTATCAATTAGTCAGTTAACCACTTATAAAATTCGGATAAATTAATACTTAACGCTTATATAACGATCATTGTCTACAACTTTTCTTTTCAAAGTTGACTATCCAAATCAATAAATTTAAAAAATCCTATAAAATAAATAAATAATGGAAGAAACTCGTTTTCAGATCTAATTATAAAACCTATTGCATGAATCCATTTTAATTCATTTTTTTCTATCAATTGTTTTGTCCCTTGAAATCAAAATTATTATAGTTCACGTTGAGATAGATATGATTCCATGGTATCCATTCATTCACCATGGAAAACATCGATAATTAAAGGAACAAATGATCCTTTTATAAAAACTTAAATAATACCCTCTACCTCTTGATTTAATGGCTAAAGAAATTTTATAAGGACACAGAGATTCTGATTTCGGATTAGGATCTCCTTCTTTTTTTATAAAGGCTATGCCATTCTTTGAATCAAATAATAATAATAATAATAATAATAATAATAATATGCTTATGAAAAAACTTAATTTGCATATCATGTTTATGAAAACTAATAAACTTTCAACTCCTTTTTTTTAATAAATAAATTTTACTCTTTTGGACGGTCATGGTATTAGATCACTCTTCTAGTTCTTGTAATATAAAATTTTAGAGTGATCCCTCCATATCAAAAGACACAAAATACCTTAAACAACAAAATAATTAAGACAATATATATCATTGCCAAATAAATTTAAAAAA